TCCGAAATCATCCCGAGCCCCCGGGACCACAACCAAAAGCATGAACAAGTCATATACCACTATCCAAACTTATACAAATCTTCAAAACACCTCAAACAACATCGAATCAACCAATTAACATCGAATTCAAGCCTACAACTTCAAAAACTCTCAATTTACGCTTTCGATCAAAAAGTCTATCAAACCTCGTCCGAATGACCTGAAATTTTGCACACACGTCACATTCAACATTACGAAGCTACAACAACTTCCGGAATTCCATTCCGACCCCGATATCAAAATCTCAGTATCGAACCAGAAACTTTAAAAATTCAACTTTTGGCATTTCAAGCCTAATTAAGCTACGGACCTCCAAAACACATTCCGAACACGCCCCTAAGCCAGAAATCACCCAACGGAGCTAACGGACCAATGAAATTCCATTCCGAGGCCGTCTTCACACTGTTCCGACTACGGTCCAAATTCTAAAACATAAACTCTCATTTATGGACTAAGTGTCCTAAAACTCTCCGAAACTCCAAATAATTCCTCCCGGCAACTCACAATAGCAAAAACAAACACGGGGAATATAGTTAATAGGGGATCGGGGCGTTAATTCTTAAAACGATCGGCCGGGTCGTTACAAGAGCTTTCAAAAACTCAAAACATGTTTGACAACTGAACCAATATTAGCCTTACCATCAGGTTTCGGAGGATTTACGGTGTTCTGTGTCGCCTCGAGGGTAGGATTAGGATGTGTTCTCATGCAAAATGGTCGCGTTATTACTTATGCTTCGAGACAATTGAAAAAGCACGAGCAAAACTATCCTACACATGATTTGGAGATGGCTGCAGTGGTATTTGCTCTAAATATTTGGTGACACTATCTATACAGCGAAACCTGTGAGATTTATACTGACCATAAAAGTCTGAAGTATATCTTTCAGCAAAGAGATCTAAATCTTCGGCAACGTCGTTGGATGGAACTACTCAAAGATTATGATTGTTCTATTTTGTATCATCCTGGAAAAGCGAATGTTGTGGCTGATGCATTGAGCAGAAAATCTATAGGGAGTTTGGCACATATAGCTCCTGCAAAGAGACTCTTGGCCAAAGATATTCAGAGACTAGAAGATACAGGTATCAAATTTGGTGTCGGAAATTTATAGGCATTGTTGGCTTGGCTCAGGCTAAGTTTTCAATAGTTGAGCACATTAAGGCCACCCAATATGAGGATGAGCGATTTTGCAAATACAGAGATAAGGCCTTAGCTGGTAAAAGCAAGGATATGATTGTTGATAGTGATGGTATTTTTCGAATGGGTGACAGGCTATGTGTCGCAGACGTAGATAGGTTAAGGTATGCTATTCTTAAAGAAGCTCACAACACTAGATACACTATACATCCTGGATCCACAAAAATGTATCATGACCTAAAGCAATTCTTTTGGTGGGAAGGTATGAAGAAAGATGTTGCAAACTTTGTTTCTAGTTGTTTGACTTGTCTGCAGGTCAAGGCTGAGCATCAGCGGCCCGCAGGACTACTACAACAAACTGAGATTCCAGAGTGGAAATGGGAAATAATTACTATGGATTTTATCACCGGGCTACCACGAACCCTTAAAGGTTATGACTTTGTATGGGTGATTGTAGATCGACTGACGAAATCAGCACACTTTTTGCCAGTGAAGACTACATATGGTGGAGTGAGGTATGCACAGAAATATGAACGAAATTGTCTGACTTCACGGAGTTCCAGTATCCATCATCTCTGATAGAGGATCACAGTTCACTTCACACTTTTGGAAATCTTTTCAAGAAGCATTGGGTACACGAGTAGATCTTAGTACTGCATTTCATCCACAGACAGACGGTCAGTCTGAACGTACTATACAGATCTTGGAGGATATGTTGAGAGCTTACATTCTTGAGTTTGGAGGTAGCTGGGACGCTTATCTACCTTTAGCTGAATTTGCTTATAACAATAGCTTCCAGTCTAGTATTCAAATGGCACTGTATGAAGCATTGTATGGTAGAAGATGTCGTTCTCCTATCGGATGGTTTGAAGCCGGTGAGACTAACTTATTGGGACCTGACTTAGTACAAGTAGCTACGGACAAAGTCCAGTTGATCAGACAGAGATTGCTTATAGCTCAAAGTAGACAAAAGTCTTATTCTGATAAGAGAAGAAGAGATTTAGAGTTCACAATTGGAGACAAAGTGTTCCTACGAGTCTCTCCTATGAAAGGAGTGATGCGGTTTGGGAAAAGAGGCAAGCTGAGTCCCAGGTTTATAGGACCGTATGAGATACTAGATCGAGTGGGAGCTGTGGCTTATCGTTTGGCACTTCCTCCTGAGTTGCCCTTTATTCATCCAGTGTTTCATGTCTCAATTCTAAGAAAATGTATATCAGACTCATCTCAGGTGCTTGAAGCACCAACTATACCGCTTGATGAGAAGTTGTCTTACGAGGAGGAGCCGATGACAATTATTGATAGACAAGTAAGAAATCTACGGTCAAAAGAAATTGCGTTCGTAAAAGTTTTATGGAGAAATCATACCGTTGAAGAAGCTACTTGGGAGGTAGAAAAAGATATGCAAGCGAAGTATCCCCATTTGTTGCAGTCTACAGGTACGTACTTGAGTTAAATTCGAGGACCGAATTTCATAAGGTGGGGAGGATGTAATACCCCTAATATTTTAAACGAGGACATATGGGGTACTTAGTAAATAATTTAAGTTTGAAGAAAAAGAAAAGAAAAGAAAAAAATAACTAACTAAATAAACAAACAAAACAAAAAAAAGGGAAAAGTTTAAGAATTGAAACCAAAAAGGGCCGAAGCCCATAACAATACATCTGCCCAAACATTTAAAAAGGGTTAGGGAAGGGGACGAAGCAGAAGCTTCAGAAACGGGAAAAAAAAAACAAACGAAACCAGAGAAGGAAAGAAAGAGAAGAAAAAAAAAAGAAAAGAGAAGAAGAAGAAAGCGTTGGGCAAAGGCTATAGGAAGAACTGGGAGTTAAAATTGAAAGTATTAAAGTTCTCCTTCGACTCAAGAGGTTAACCTTCTTCTTCTCATCCGTTGAATTATTTCACTGAATCTATGTAATTTCATGTAGTACAAAAAAAATAAGTCAATATCACCTTTCTATATATATATATATATATATATATATATATATATATATATATATATATATATATATATATATACATATATACATACATACATACATACAATTACTATGGAGATAATAAGGCTATAAAGGTTTGGTTTAAGCACTGATAGATCTAATTTTAGAGGAATAAATTATACTAAATAGTTCGAAATTGATAAAATTATGGACTAGTTCTATGATAAAATATAAATCCCCAAACTAAGACTCAAACATGAACCCCAATGATTGGGTATTCTAAATTAGTGATGGATTTAGCCTAAATGAGGCAATTAGCATGAGATCGATATTATGTAATTATAGATTGATTGGAGGAATTTGTACGAATTGTTCAAGGTGAAGCATTTGGTATTTCGGCACGAGTACTGTGAGTAGTAATCTTACTGCAATTTGTGTTTTCATAACTTGCATGATTTACACATGATTTTAAATATGAATATGTTACCGATTATTTTGAGTTGCATGTGGGACAAGCCTTTTACTCAATATGATATCGAAATAGTTATTTGAGCAGATTACCGTTGTTTTAAATATTTCCATTGTCACTAGATATGTTTTACCGTTACTTGAATTTACTGTTATCTAAATGAAATTACATGATTTGATAAGTACCGAAATGCCCTATATTGTTTTAAAATATTTTCCTATGAGTATATACGAATACAGAGACAAGTATAAATGGGAGTATACTTTGAAGGATCTTGTAGCTAACGGCGGGTTTGTTAGACCTGGTGCACCTTGTATTTACCGATTACAGAGTACAGTTATAGCTCTCGCTAGTGGGAAGGTAGAACTAGCATACCGTTACCGATTTTCCTCGAGTAGGGACTACCATTATATTTGACTTCTTGCGAAGAAGTCCATAGTTATACCGATTACATGATCCGTTCATTGAAACCTCCCAAATGTGAATATTGATATAATACAGTGGTTACTGAGCTTATTACTGAATTGTTAATTGTATTATACTACAAGAAAAACATGATGAGACTGAAAATTCTTTATTCTTTCTAAAAGGGTATTTTTATGTTATTTTCTGTTTGAGATACTAGCATGTTTTCTGACTTGTCCCCAATAAAAATGCTTGTGGTTAAGTGTTATTACTCACTGAGCTAGCGACTCATTCCCCGCTAATTTTTTTTACAGAGACAGCGGTTGACGCATGCGAGGATTTCGTTAATTAGAGCGCACAGGTTGATAGTTCTTGGTGAGCCTCGCACTTGTTCGCGTGGGCGGAGATTTTATTTATTGTTATGGTCTTTTATTTGAATTCTTAGAGTCGCTCCATAGTCATTCTTTTAGTTTCATGAGTATTATTTTATTATTATAGTCTTATGTTGAGTATCGTTCTTTATTATCAAATTTGGAGATAAATTAGTATTTCTGGTTGTTAGTGGGTTGATTAGTAATGGTGGAGACTCGTTTTGGTTGATTGATAAGTTGTCGATTATTTGGTATGATATTAGGATGTTTGTTAGTTGATTTGAGACAGGGAAATTTTTGGGATAGTCCAAAAATAGGGAAAACTCTGCCCGATTTTATACAAAAACTGATGAGGCTTACTTGGAGCACTTGCTCTAAGTGCCGGTCATGATCCTAAATTAGGTCGTGACAATGGACTTGCGGGTAATACTAATATAACACATAAAAGAAAAGAAAATCATGGAAAGAATCCATGATTGAGACGGATTCAGAGAAGTTTGAGAGAGAGGCTAGGGTTTCTGAGGAGAGGAGAAGAGAGGATATAGAGGCGGCAGTCTAAGAGGAATGATAGGGTTTGTGCGGGTTTGGTTAATTAAAGAGGGAGAGTGAATGAGGGTCGTTGATCTTGAGAGATCAAATGCTAGGATTTAAAATGAACGGGGTGGGGTCATAAAACGGGTACTGACCGGGTCTTATTAAAGGGTCATTTGGCTTTGGGCTGGGGGCTATTGGGCTAAGTTGATGGGCTATTTTTAGTCCAAAAAATTAATCTAAAGCTAGGCTATTATTTAAATACACCAAATTTATCAAAACTAATTTATAAAAATACTTAATAAATAAATAAAAATATTATTTATGCACTAAAATAGTTAAAAATAATAACTTAGTGTTATAAAAATACAAAATGCTATTTTGTCACGAATAATATAAATAAAGAGCGTATATGTATGAATATGGGCTATTACTGCAAAATGGTGCAAATAGTTTTAAAAATACTAATGTAATTATAAAAAATAGAGTAAAATATCTGAAGCAAGTATTATAGATTTAAAATAATAATTTTAGGTAATTAAGTCATAACAAAATAACTGAAAGAAGCAATTAATAAATATTCAAGTAATTTAAATGCAGGAAAATCAATTTTAAAGCTCTAAAAATTATGAAATTGTAAAACATGCTTGTATAGATTTGTAAACTAAGTAATGATGCAAATGATGTATTGAAAGTATATACACTTATTTGAAAAAATATGAGGGCAAAATTGTGTATCAACAAGAGTCAAGTAAGGCATGAAGCAGGAATGTCACGTAATTCTACAGACACATATATATAGCCTAATCCACCACCGAGCATGATTATGGCACATACATATACGCTCGTCACCTCATTTATGTATCACCCCTGCATGTAGCAAACAATGTCAAATAGGAGGAAAAATTACCTTAACAAAGTTAGGCAAGACACTTACCTCAATTCGGCTAACTCAACACTCAATTTAGCCTTTTCCCTTTACAAATTCGCCTCCGCTCGGCTCAATCTAGCCAAGGACGACTTGAATACATCACATAATGCAAGAGAAAATAATTTCAATTCACAAAGCTGTGATTTTTATTAGATTTCCAAAAAGTCAACAAAAGTCAAACCCCAGGCTAGCCCGGTCAAAACCCGGGTCCAAGGGTAGGTCTTGACTACCCATAGCCTCACGAGTCCAAATATGTGTTTTGTTCAAATTCGAATCCTATTCGACTCTCAAATCTTAAATTTTTATTTCTCATGAATTCGATGTTAAATCTTATACGAAATCATGAAATATAGTTGGAAATTGATTAGGAGTACTTACCCAATGATTTGGTATGAAAATCCCTTCACAAAATCGCCTCTCATCGAAGCTAGGGTTCAAAATATATCAAAATGAAGCTAAGTCTCATAATTCTCAGCATTTAACAAGCTGCAGATGTTGTATTTACGACATGGGGTTCGCAAATGCGAAGAAATCATCGCAAATACGAAGATTGAAATTCTTTGCTGCCTTCGCAAATGCGACCCAAAAGGTCGCAAATGCGAACACTGGACCTTTGCAAAAGCGACCAGTTGGTCGCAAATGCTAACAAACCCAGCTCAGGCCTTTATCGCAAATGCGAACACAACAGGCCTCGCAAAAGCGGCAAATTCCTCGCAAATGCGAGTCCTTTCCCCAGCAGCCCAGCTTCGCAAATGCAAGGCTGCTTCGCATTTGCGACAAAAACATCGCAAATGCAATGATACCAGTATCAACAAACAAAATTTATGAAAAATCATTCCGAAACCAAATCATCAAAATAACCTCTAAAATCACGAATCGAACGCTAAAACGCATCAAAATGTCCACTCCCGGTCAAACTTCCCAAAAATTTAACTTTCGCCATTTCAAGACAAGTTCGACTACGGACCTCCAAATTACAATCCGGACGCTCTCTTAAGTCCAAAATCACCCAACGGAACTGACGGAACTCCATTCCGAGGTCAAATGCTAAAAAATCAAACTTGGTCAACTCTTACAACTTAAAGCTTAAATCTTGAAGTTCATTCTTCCAAATCGATTTTGAATAACTTAAAAACCAACACTGACGATTTGCACAAGTCATATTACATCATGGGGAAATACTCGAGCCCTCAAAACACCTAGCGAAGTGCAGATAGTCAAAACAACCAGACTGGTCATTATAATTTCCCGTTCACTCTATTTTAAGCTAAACCAAGCTTAAACCCAACATACTCTGCCCCGGTCATACTACATTTTCTAAGTTTCAGTGTTATGTATTTAGCAAAAAAAATTATTGACGAGCTATCCAGCTATTTTTAATGTAGTATCTTCAGTTTATTATTTAATTGCAGTCTATGTCTACTAAAAGGACAAAAATACACTAAAACATCTTGTTACAATGTCTAATTCTTTGGTAGCTAGTAGATCTATCTCTTTGATAGTTCGATCGTTATATCCCGTCAAACTCTAAAAGCTAGGACTTTATGTTCATCTGCGAATACAAATACTACTTCGTACCGTAAAAGGGGACAAAATTAGAAAGATCTTGCTATTTCTTTCAATAAATTTTCATCTCTAGTCAACCTTCACGTGGGATTAGTACTCAGATGAAGTTCTGACCATCTATTAGAGAAAATAAGGCGCATTATAAAAATTTAGTAATAATTGCTCAGATGGCCACGGAAGTTCGATCAAAAGTAAATTGCCAGTTCACAAGGGTTGTGCTATGTTTTGTCATACCCTTGC